AAATCGATTACCAAGCGATGATGAGCTTTCTCAAGAGAATAAAAATTCAGTCTTCTAGATTGAGGTTTTTAAGAGATTAAATTAAATGTTACAGATTTCAATGTTTATTTTCTTGTGAAAATAATGGAGGCACTGTGAAGAATACAGACAGATAGGTTAAAATAAATCAGCTTACATAACAGTGTTTACCCGTGAGTTTGTGTAAAACATGTTTTGCTGCCCGAGGAGACAAACACTTGGCTCATAGCTTATTTATATATTTAGAATAGGCTGAGTCAAAAGTCTCAGGACACTGTTTTTACTCAGAAACGAAAGGGAAAATTTAACATCTAAATACCCCAGCAAGTAATGGGTGAATGTAATTATCTTATAAGCGATGTCCGCCATCTTGAAAGGCACCATATTGGCTCAAGTTCACATATTTCCAATGGGAAGGTGGTCATGTAGTGCAATGATTCCCAACCAGGGGTACGTGTACTCCTTGGGGTACACGAGCATATTACAGGGATATGTGAAAAAAATTCCCAGCACCTTGAACAGTTCCTTCTGTCCTTCACACTGTCTAAAGTCAAACATTCCAGCACTTTCAGTATCTTAGACAGTTCCTTCAACCCTGCACACTGTCCAAGGTCCTGAAACAATCCAGCACTTTCAGGACCTTGGGCAGTTCCTTCAACCCTTCACACTGTCCAAAGTCTGGAAACAGTCCAGCACTTTCAGGACCTTGGACAGTTCCTTCAGCCCTTCACATTGTCCAAAGTCCTGAAATATTCCAGCACTTTCAGGACCTTGGACAGTTCCTTCAGCCCTTCACATTGTCCAAAGTCCTGAAACGTTCCAGCACTTTCAGGACCTTGGACAGTTCCTTCAACCCTTCACACTGTCAAAAGTCCTGAAACATTCCAGCACTTTCAGGACCTTGGACAGTTCCTTCAGCCCTTCACACTGTCCAAAGTTCTGAAACATTCCAGCACTTTCAGGACCTTGGACAGTTCCTTCAGCCCTTTAGTGTATAGAGGAAGCACTTGTTTCGTGTGCTGTCCATTGTGCTGAACACAGAGCCGAATGTGTCAGTTACCTTTGGGAAACAAACAGAAAAAAACCTTTTGACATTTCTGCATTAATAACTTTTAAACCATAAGAGATATTGTACATCTGATTGTGAAATACCAATTCATATGCTTATTAACCACCTTCCCATTAGGAAAAATGTTACTTTGATTCAATGTGGTGGCTTTCAAGATGGCGGAATGTTGCAGACATGGACCCCCTCAACCATTACTTGCTGGGGTTTTCAGATATTTAATTTTCCCTGTCATTTCTGAATAAAAATGGTGTCCTGAGACTTTTGACACACGGTATTTATCAATTAGGACTGAAAGTACAGTTTGTATTGTATTTGTTGTTCAGCATTTTGGCTTTCTTTCTTAAAAAGAGCAGCTGAGGAATAATTTTCACCTGGAGCTTGTTTTATTCTGTTTTTAGTAGGCAAATTTGAGTTTTTTTGTGTGTTTTTAGCACAATTTTCCAATTTATTTTATGAAAATGTTGTGATGACTTGGGCAAAAGTCACGGTCAAAATAATAAGTACTGAAGTTGGAAAAGTCTCTTCTCTCAGTTCAGGTTTTATAAACCTCTCTGCACACAGATCTTCAACACCTTTGGCAAATATATTTAGCAAGTGTTGTGTTTAGATTTGTTTCAGATTAATGGTTCCTCGGAGGTCTTCCATCACCCAGCAGATTTTAATGAAATTTTCAGAAGGCAATCATCGGTTTGACATCTACAACTGATTAACTTTTAGAGCCAAACCGATTTGCAATGGCTGCTACAACTAATTGACCCCAGGAAACACAAAGATTGCTAAAAGTCGGTCAATAACTCCATCATTTCTCTGCATGACATGATCCTTGTTTAAAACTTTTGACATGAAAGGCGATGGGCAATATGCAGTCCTTCAAGGAATGTGTTTGTTACAAGTATATTTAAATCACCAAAGCTTTAAAAGTTGACTTAATTTTTCATGTAAAGCCACAGCTGCAGAAGATGAGCCATGAAAAGAGAAAAACGGCTGTAATTAGGAGCAGAGTGGTGATAAGTTGTGATAAGAAGAAAAGATGTTACTGAGTGGTTATCGTGTTTGAAAGTAATCACATTTGGAGGCAGGAAATTAACTTCAAAATTACATTTCTTTTATCCCGACAACCTACAGGATCTGCGTCTGAACTTTACCTTCCTCCTTTTCATTTTAATATAAATCAAGATCCCTTATTTTTCTACATTTGATTTCAGTCACATTTATTTAAATCTGATAGGGTTTCCTGATCCGTCTCCGTCTAACGTTTAGTTCCTGGAGTCAATCAATCGATCAATTTATTGATATATCATCGTTAAAAAGAGCGGTGTTGACTAAAGTGTGTCACAAACTGACAGGGCAACCAGTGGAGGGATAACYGTACAGGGGTGATGTGGTCAAATTTCCTGGTAAGAGTTAAAATACAGCAGCTGCGTTCTGGACCATCTGCAAACATCTAAAACTTTTCTTGGGTCATCCGGAAAGGAGGGAATTGCAATAATCGATGCGTGATGTCACGAAAGCGTGAATAAGAACCTCAGCATCATCAAAAGAAAGGATGTGCCGGATTTTGGCGATGTTCCTGAGGTGGTAGAAGGCAATCCTAGTTACTTCCTTTAAGTGGAAGTCAAATCAATCAATCATTGTGAAGATCAATGTGAAATTTGGCAGGAATGTTGATGTAGATGCGTCTGATCTACAGTGAGTCAGTCAACAGTTTTACAATAGACCCCATATTTCATGAGGGGGCTCCACCTGAAAAGTGGGTGTCCGGACATAAAAAAAATGCTTATAACTTAACTATTCAACATAGAAGATTCTGATTTTTTGTTGTTAAGCTCTGATGTAGGTCTATCAAACCCACCAATGAGCACCCAGCAGTGCCCCCCCACCCAAAACAATAAATCTGTTCTGATGACTTCTGAGTTCTGGTGCATTGGTGCTTTGCGTGTGTGTGGGGGTCATATATGCTACTGGTTTGCAGTATCCAGTTATAAGTGTTTTGATTAGGATGAACACAAACATTGGTTTGTGATGGTTTATTACTTAATGCACCAAATTAATGTTATAATTTCTAAAAAGAGCAACCTCAGTTCCCACATAATGCAATAATGTTAATAAATAATGCACTTTTAATTCAGTTTGATTACACTTTTAATCCTGATTTTATTACATTATTACATATGGCGGCATTATTACATAATGCAGCTTTACAAGTCTTGGTGCTTTCCTGCATCTGCATCMAACATGCCTGAAGTGTATCCATAAAACAACGAGGAGCGACTTTACCTTGATCCTCTTGTCTGATTAAACGACATGGTGGTGACTGAGATGTGTGAGTTGTGTTCAGTCACCTGCTGRCATGGTCATAGACATTACCGCTGACAGACTGAACGGAAGCTAAAGACTGAGGAGTCCTTCAGCTGAACTGAAGCCTATTACCGCCTCTATAACAACAACAAACAGCCAAGCCGTCCACACTGTGACGTTTAATAGTGTTATTACTGAGAAGTGTCTGAGCAGGCTGGATGTAACACTGGTAATAAGAAGAATATATATATATATATATATATATAATATAAATAAAATACGTACAGGTTTTTTAACATCTGCACGTAGAAAACTACCTGCGGTGGACCACGCTGTGACTCCAGGTTCTGCCTGCAGATGGATTATATCCTCAGCTTTGAGTCACTTCACAATGTTTATCAGCTTTTCATGCTGGGAGGAGAAGCTAATAGATTTGATTTAATTCWCTTTTTCAGATACATAGCTGCTGTATTTCACAGTGCTGAAACAAGAGCTTTTTATTTACAACAGTAGAAAACAAATGTATCAATGCAACAGTGAAATTTAGATTTTATTATCATTTTCTGCCATGAAAAGTTTGATTTATCTGTTTGGAAAATATATCTTGAACCACTGAACAGGTTTTAATGAAACTCAAAGTAATTCTTGGATGTGCCTCTATACTCTGGTCCTCAAGGACCACCATCCTGCAGGTTTGAGATGTTTTCCTGCTTTGACACCTGATTAGGATGAATGAGTGATTGACAGGCTTATGAAGAACCTGAAGTAGGGATGCACGATATATTGGCATTAATATCTGTATCGGTCCGATATGTAAAACTGGGCCGATATTAATGTCCGATATTGATTTCCCACTTTTTATCTTTGTGCTTCTGTTTTGGGAGGTGAGATGGTTGGTTGAGCGGCATCTGTTTGATCATGAAAGTGATACTGACACTGTGCAGCCAGGTATAACTGAAGCAGGGAGCCATGTCAGAGGTCTGGTTGTTTATTTATGGTATCAAAAAAAAAACACCCAAGTGTGTTTGTGCGTATATGTATAATATAATTTGTGTGTTTGTGTAATATCGATAAATATCGGTTATTGGCCATAACAGCAATAATTATATCTGATATCGATATCGGCTGAAATTTTCATATCGGTGCATCCCTAACCTGAAGACCTGCTGAGGAGCAGGGGAATGACTCAACCATGCYGGAGAGTGGGCCTTGAGGACCAGAGTTTGGAACCAACAAACCCAACTAGATCACAACTCACTTGAAACACTTTTACAGGGTTCCTACYGATCCTTAAAAAGTCTTAAAAGGCATTGAATTCATCAGTTCAAAAATAAGGCCTTAATTAGCCTTAAACAATCTTAATTCAATCTCTCAGTGGTCTTGGCTTTGCGTTGAAATAAACATTTGGGTAAAATTGTTGCTGGTTTTTTTCCATTTGTGTTTATTGTGAAGTTGATCTTGAATTGAATTTCAAGTGGCATTAAATAGGTCTTAAAAAGTCTTAAATTTAACTTACTCTAAGCTGTAGGAACCCTGTWTTAGATTTTTCATCCAGTTTTTGCATGACTGTGTTTTAATGACAAATACTCACCAGTTCATTTCTTTTTTTCCCCAGCTACACGCTGCGTGTTGTTCGCAARGGGATCAGAGCTCAAAGTGCCAACCCTGAAGTGAAAGTGAAGGGAGAAGACCCTCTGATCAACCAGATCATCGACAAACTCAGACACGTCAGTCAGGTGAGACCCTCTAAGGAGGATTAAAAAATCTTTTTTCCACCGTTTGTTTTGTCAAACACATYGCTGCTTTCACCTCAGGCAGTGTGCTTATTCTTGTTTTTATTGTTAATTATCAGACCACAGGAAGTCTCTGATTAGCTGCTAATCAAGCTGCAGAGCTTCACTCTTTACCTTTAATCCTCAATTAAACATTTCTTCAATATCATCTTTTAGATTTCCGGAAAGCTTCGGCTTATTGAAAAACTCAAATGCAGAATCTTTTTTTAAGCAATACATAAAAAAAAGGAATAAAAATCAATCATTACACGTTTAGAAACCCATTTGATCCGGTTTGTGTGCCTTCGTATTTACAGAATTCTTTTTCTGCTCTTTGTCAAAATCAATGTAGCTTTTCCGCTCGCCAATCTGCTTTTATGCACATTTGCGCTGCCGCGGCTGCTCCCGGTGCCGTTTATCCGCCGGGGTGATGAGATTAAAGCCGTTTACCGGAGCACTTTCCTTCCTCTTGCCTCAATAACAGCTGCTTTGGCTGCATTCGCGCCGTCGCGCCGCAGAAGCAGCTCCACGTGTCTGTTGCTCCGGTTTCCCCCAAGTGGCGGGCTGAAGGCCAGGTCACCTCTCCTGACCTCACGCTGGCACCCCCTCCTGCACTAATTCTCACCATCTGTGGGGTGTCAAAGCACATAAATCTATATCATAACCGTTTGAGAGGCTCAGTCCTGCCTCGCTGACTTTCACCGTGTTTACCGCCGCCTGCCTTTTGGCTGTTTTGAGTCGWAGATGTGATTGCTGTGAATTTTTATTTTTTTGTGTTTACAGAAAAGATTGTTTTATAATCTTTGAGTTCTCAGGATGAGTTTATCTGATCCAGAAGTGGTTTATGTGATTTACTTTTAAGCACGATGAAACAGATTATGATTATGAGCTCAGGACAGATTATATAATAATCTACAATCTGTTGAGACTGAGTACTCCAGTAGAACTTTTAATCCCATATTTTTCTTTCCTCTTTATAGTTTTTGCACGTTCACCTATTTTAGACTCTGGGAATGATGCATGTTACTGAATAATGATTTGCATTACCCGTTCCTCAGATTAGTTCATGTTTTATCTAATTAATGTTTCTGCTGGGGTCTGTTTGTTTGTAGTGTTAGTAAAATATCTCATGACTTGTCTCCAATCAGTTTCAGGAGCTGTGRTTTTAAAGTCAAAGTCTATTTATTTTCAAATCTGCATAATGTACTGGACATACACAGYGTTGAATTGACTCTGTCAGATCRCAATAAACATCAGAAAAACATGGCAAAATTCAAAAACAGACATTTGGTAAAACTTTAAGCATAAAAGATATGTTTCTAGACTAATTAGCAATAGAATTAAAGTGATGTATAACAATAATGATAATAATAATAATAATACAAAMACATTTATTTGTATAGCACCTTTCAAAACAGCTACAAATTGCTTTACATCACAGTAAAATCAAAACACATGAAAAACATAGCACAATGAAAATGCGGTAATGTATATTTAAGGTGTYTTTACATGATTTATACGTCTAAAGTCCCTGATTTTGGCATATACTTACAGTGATTATATGAAGTGGGTTAACATTAATGAGTATGACTAAATATAAGCAAGTGTTTTGACACCTACTCTGTCAAACAACTATGACGGTGATTAAAAAAAAACTGGTTCAAATCCGTCCACCTTGTGTCAGTAGAAAAAGCTTTAAAGGTGTTGGTGGGACCAAAGTGGACCGAGGTGGATCTGATCAGAGGTGGACAGTGAAATAATGTTGGACCTGACCCATCACATCAAACAGAATACACAGAATAAGTCTCAATGTTGAGAAATATATGCAGCTCGAGTTTTGCATTTGGTCAAAACCTGACAAACAGATACAATTATCTATGTGTCGTTTAAATTAAATACCTGAAATATAATCCTAAAATAGACCTACCCTGTTTTATTTTTTTTTCACATTTAAATCATTCACTTGGGTCTATATAAAGTGGAACTGCAATGCATGGTTTGAATTCCTCCTTATTGTAACTCCACAAGCCCTGCCCTCTTTTTAAAGCTGTGTCTCAGATCACCCCCCCCGTTTCCAAACTGTAACATATTAGTTCATAAAATGTCATAGAATATAGCGAAAACTGAACAGGAAGAGAAATATGAGCCAAACAGAAAATAAAGATATCTACACAGCTACAGGAGAGGCTAAATTCTAATTTTCATTCTCCTAGAGACTCCAAGTCTGCAACAAAATGTATTTAATAGTTAGAAAAATTAATTTTGCATGATTCGTTCAATAAATTTTTGAAGCACTTTTTTTGAGCAAAAAGGCTTTACATTTTTAATATTTTCCCTGCAAGCTAACAATGTTTATTTTTCTCTCCAGTTGTTAAATCTCAATATCCAAATATTATTTGGGGTTTCCTCTCTAAAATGATGCCAAAATAACCAAAAACAATATTCAGACCAAATAATAATAGGTTATCTTGATTAGGAAGYCGGTTCGAGACATGTCTRTATYATGGCTCATGATATCAGGATGATCAAAATGTAGCTTAAAAAGCAGGAATCTGAAACTGTGCCGAGTTCATTTGGACCAAATTTGGCTTCATCCTCAGTTTGATGTGATGGTTCACAAATTTGCAAACTGTGCTGAAATAATAATAACAAAAAATAGTGGAAAACACAGCTGCAGGGCTCAGCGAGACTGCAACAGAAATGTTGACTACAGTCGCAGCCCAGTGATACTACCTTAAGGACACATTCTGTAACCACGATTGTCAGTTTTTGCACACTTTTAAAACATATTTAATAAAGGAGTCCCATTATGAGTGATGGCTCATCATAAAGAACWGTTTTCTGTTAACTTGTGGGTTGGATTGGTCCGAACGAGAGAGAAAAGCAGTTTTATCTAACATTAGCAGAGCTTTATTAGCTGTTTTATAACCTCGTCATGTTCTGCCTTCCTCTTTCAGTCCTAATAAGAGCCCAAAGATCCCTGCGTATAAAAACACTTTATCATTCTGCGGCGGAGGCAACCTTGTGCTGTTTGCTCGTCTCCTTGTTCTGTTTCCACTTTAACTTGCTTTTGTGCAGCACAGAGTAGATTTACAGTTTTGGAACAGAGTTAAAGGTGCGCTGCGGAGATAGTGCCAGAGAACAATTTGCATTTTTATAGATCTGCATGAAAATAGGATTTCAGGTTACATTTGAATCATTTCCGGGAGGGTGGGTGGGAGTGTTTTATTTTTCTTTATTAAATGAACTTGTTGGAGGACAGAGTGGAGTTTTTGTTGCCTTCCTCATTTGAAATCAGCGTCATTAGTACAGTAGACGCGACACATAATATTTAAATGGCTGTTATTAGAAATCTGGGTCCATTTTAGACATTTAATGGCTGATTATGAGTCTGGTAAAAGCTCTTCTGAAGTGCATTTGTCTCCGCTGCACCCACCACTGATTACTCATTTTCCTACAACAACTACGTCAAAACCACGTRAGCCGCAAGGCCACTTTAAGACCTGAAGTCTTTACTGTAAGAGCATGTTTGGATCACATTTTACCACTTACATTTTGTTTTTTAGAGAAAATAGGAGCACAAAACTAAAATAAATGTGCTTAATGCCAATAAATACATTATATAGCACCTGTCACAGATAAATCACAAAGTGCTTCATAGATAAAACAAACTAAAACAAAGATACACAGATAAATACCAAGTTAATCACAAGTTTTTCTGTACAAAAATGTCTTCATCTGCAGTGGGAAATATTTCCACAGTCTTGTAGCAACTGTCTAAAATGCCTGAGTTTTAAACCAAGTGTGTGGATAAAAAAAGAGATAAAAGCATGGATAATCAGAAGTTCAGCTTTTGACACAAGCAATTGAAGTTTGGAGATGTTCCTAAGGTGATAAAAACAAGCTTCTAACAAARTGAGTGAGAATGATGATCAAACAACATTGTACTATCAAAATGGACACCCAAGTTTCTAAAATTTGATTTATCAGAAGAGCCTAAAAAGTTGACGTGTTTTCTGATATCACCGATAAAATTTGTATCTGAGATCCTTTATACAATTCAGAGGCTTTAAAATAAAAAAATATTTATAATAAATCTGAATGTCGTCAGCATAAAGATGATAAGAAATATTGTGCTGTCCAATAATTTTGCCAAGTGAGCATATGTGCGGCAAAAAGAGAATAGTACCCAGAACAGATCCCTGAGGTACCCCCACAGGGCAGGTTCAACTGAATTTATCACAACCAACAGTTTTATTTTTTGCACAACCTTGAAGAAAAAAAAAGGCAGGCAGCCATTTAATTGTCTCTGTCTGGATGTGTGTGTACATTTGTTAGCAAAATATCTAATGAGCCAGTGGATAAATTTTAATGAAAGTCTCAAAAAYTATCTTTACAACTGATTTAGTCTCGTTCTTATTCAAGATGGTGTCCGTAGCTCATCATCTTTATCAAACACAAATGACTAAAACTCTGTCTATTTTACAGACACTCAGCTAAAACTTGGTGTGGTAGTAGCTGAAAGTCWTCCTCAACATGCATTTTAAGCACAAACAGATTTCTCAGTATCTTTGTTTGAAACTTTAAGGTGGCTTTCCTTTGAGAAAAGCTACTTTTCTGTCTTGGTGACAGTATTGGCATCTTAGTTTATCAAGTCAGCAGTATGGATTTATCTCCATTTTCTTCCCTCCCAGCGTGCCTTAGAGCTAAAGAACACAAATTAAACTTCCTTCWCGAACTTTCACACTTTCAACAAACCTGTTCTGAGTTTATTAACCGCAGTTAGAACGGCAGGCATGTCCTGCGTGATGTAAGCAAACCAACAATGCTGCTCATTAGTCGCTGGGAATACAAATAGTGTAAATATGAAATGTCAGGAGGGCGCCGTGTTTCTGTTAATTAAAACCATTAAAACCCAGAAGCTGTCGTCTGTGTGAGGTCACTGCTCTGTGCATGTTTGGTGT